ACTTCACCGACGATTTCGCAGAAATATTCGAGGAGTATTTCGCTCGGAGAGAACGGATCATCTTCCTTAACTAGGAACTCGAGATTCCTATCGATGGTTATATCCCTATTGTTTGAGCCCTGCCATTTCTCAGCTACGAACATCAGAAAACCGTAAACGTAAGAGAGATCGGTATTGGACTTATGACCAGTGAGTTTCGCTTTTATTGTAACCCCGATAACAGCGGGATGAACTGTAAGCTTCCCGAAACTGTAGAGTAGAATTTAAGGGGTGAAACATCTTTGTAGAGTTTTGAAACCTGGCTTTCGTACGAAATACCAAATGAACGGAGGATTTATAGGAACTCGGTGATTTATAGGAACTTTTGGAAATTTAAAAATTGGGGGATGAATAGGGAAGCGAGGGAATTTGAGGAGTTTGAGATTTGGGGGTTAGAATTTGAGTGTGGGGATTTGAGGACGTGGAATTTGAGGGATTAGGAATTTGGGGATTTAGGGATTTGGGGACGTGGAATTTGGGGGACGTGGAATTTGGGGATTTAGGGATTTGGGGATATGGAATTTGGGGAATTAGGAATTTTGGGGATTTAGGGATTTGGGGACGCGGAATTTGGGGGATTAGGAATTTGGGGATTTAGGGATTTGTGGACGTGGAATTTGGGGGATTAGAAATTTGGGGATTTGGGGATTTGAGGACGTGGAATTTGGGGGATTAGGAATTTGGGGATTTAGGAATTTGAGGACGTGGAATTTGGAGGCTTAGGAATTTGGAGATTTAGGAAATTGGGGATTTAGGAATTTGGGGATTTAGGGATTTGGGGATTTAGGGATTTGGGGATTTAGGGATTTGGGGATTTAGGGATTTGGGGATTTAGGGATTTGGGGATTTAGGGATTTGGGGATTTAGGGATTTGGGGATTTAGGGATTTGGGGATTTAGGGATTTGGGGATTTAGGGATTTGGGGATTTAGGGATTTGGGGATTTAGGGATTTGGGGATTTAGGGATTTGGGGATTTAGGGATTTGGGGATTTAGGGATTTGGGGATTTAGAGATTTAGGGATTTGAGAATTTGGGGATTTAGAAATTTGGGCGCTTAGAAATTGGGAAAGTAAAAATTTGGGGGTCTAGGAATTTAGGCGTTTAGAAATTGAGGGACTAGGAATTTGAGGGCTTAAAAATTGGGGGACTAGGAATTTGGGGTATACAGGGTTTGGAGTGCTTAGAAATTCAGGAAGATAGGAATTTAGGTATCTAGGAATTTAAGTATCCAACAATTTGATGTCATATGTCATAAACCCAGGAATCTCAAGATACAGAAACTTGATAATCTAGAAATCTTAAAGTTTAATATCTCCATAAACTAACCCCATATTGCACCTGAGAGTACCCAAAGTTGAACCTACCTTATCAAATACATCTTATTACCCCGATTGCCTCGTTAAATTCGTAGTTACAACAAGACAACAATATACTTTCTGTCGTAAAATAAAATCGAACACGATCGAAACGAGTTCATATAAAGAGGGTGAAAATGGCATCGGACACCATACGTTCCACTAAATTTAATGTAAAGCGTCAGTCAAGTATCGAATAGCTCGTTGAAGTCCGCGATTCGAGCAATGATCCATTAATCAAGCTCGTAGCTTCTGTTCTCCGGAAACCATCGATCTCATGAACGTTTCGCCGCAACGGAAGTGGAACGTTCAGTAGTATAGGCGTCGTTATAATGCGACGCGACGCACGGTATAAAATAGTGATGGGTTCGAGCCGAATTTTTCAGTTCTCGAAACTCTAATCTATAGTCTAGTCTCTAATCTATAGTCTGTATTTTATTTATAAAATAAATAAAGGACTGAAATGTTCTGAATTTAGCAATTTCCAATGATACAAATTACAAGACGCGGTCAACTAGATAACTAAACAATACGTCACAAATAGCAATATTTGTACAATTTAATTATAGGACGAGGTCCACAACAAAATGTTCAAAGACGGGTCCTACAAAAGAGGAACATAAACTTTACAACCCCTGTAATATATAATCCAATTGCAAGAAACACGTATTCGTTGATTTTATCTTTTCTTCTCCGAGTTCCATGAATGTTTAAACACTCAAATTCCCGAATCTCGAACTCCTTGTATTTCAAGAATTTTCCACGTTTCGCCCGTCTAATAAAAAGAGGGAAACGAAGAGGAAGAAAGAGAGATTTGTCGACGATTCGCGTCGTATAGCGAAATAAACGATGGCGAATGAGAGAACGAGCGAAGAGGAGAGTTGATATTACGCGCGAAAAGGCCCTCGAGCTTCGTCGACCTAGAAATCGTTTACCGTCTACGTCAGTGCCGAGCACCGGAGAATAAGGTTTAAACGAGATAGTAGGCAGCCACTTTAAGGCCGGTGATAAAAAAAAACAGATACAATGGTCCTTCGTCGACGACGACTTCCAGTGTTATTTTTAAATTAAGGGCAACTAGCGGGGCGAGCGTGATGTGCAAGCCGAGACGCGATATGGCGGCCAAGAAATTTATGGACGTTCGAAATCTGATCGCCTTCGATCGATTTCGATGACGCACAAAATTTGTTAATTTGGAGATTTTTTTAATTTTGACATTTTTGAAATTTGGTCATTTTTTTGGAATTTGAAATTTTTATCAAATTTGATGTTTGTACATTTGGTGCCTGGGGAAATTTGGGGATTTTAAGATTTAGAAATTTTGGGGATTTGGGGAATTTAAGGATCTAGGGAATTTTTGGGTCCAGAGAATTTAAGGATCTAGGGGATTTAGGGATAAAGGGAATTTTTGATCCAGGGGATTTCTTTTGATCTAGGAAATTTTGGGACATAGGGACGTTAGACAGCTAGGGAATTTAGGGATGTAGGAGAGTATGAGATATAGAGAAATTAGGAATTTAAAAAATTTAGGGATTTAGGGATTTGAAAAGTTGGTAATTTGAACATTTTTTAATTTAGTAATTTTCATGTTTAGAAATGTTGTAACTGGGAAATTTAAAAATATAAAAATTTGAAAATTCATTAGTGAACAATTGAAAATTTCGGAAATCTTAATTTACTAATATAAGTACCTATTTTCTGATACTTTAAACTTACAAACTAAATAAAGAACCTATATACTTACCTACGTAACTTACTTCCACCACATGCAAAAAAAAATATGCGAAAATTTGAATACCCTCATTAAACACAATTCAACGAAAAGAAAAATAAATTGTCCTTTCTCCTGGTCAAACAATTTGCGAATCAAGGAGAAGATTATCGCGTCGATTTAAGATGGAACACTGCGAACAATAATACGTCCCCCCTCTAAATTTGTACGGCTGGCAAGAAACGACGCATCATTTTCTACATGAATTCATCGCAGCTAAACGAGACCATTTCTGAGATTGAATTAACAATCGCCTATCGGTTGCGTCACGACAATTCGCAGAACAGTTTTTGCTCGAAGACTTTCGATTTATGAGGAACAAGTTTCTCGCCTTCTGTTCTGAGGGTAATGAGTTGGAATTTTAAAAGACGTTTCCCCTGAACACGCGGATGAATGTAAAATTTAAATGAAGCTTGAACGAGGTTCCATCAAGTTGAACGAGTTTTCGAGTGCGAATCGCGGAATCTAATTCCGATCTCTGTACTTTTATTTCTGTTGCGAATGATTTTAATCGAATAGAAAATTCTTTGTCTATATTTGTTCTGTATAGTTTTTCGATATTCACCTCTCGTTACATTTTTCGAAGTTTTCTATTAAGTTAAATTATTGAAAGAATTATTAAAATTATTTATCAGATTTCTTAAAAATACCGCCATTTTTAACACAGAGTTTCAATTTCATAGAGAGTCATGCTCGCCAGCGTAACTCAGATTAAACAGTCGAATTAATCACATGGTAAAAAGGTAACGAATTAAAATTGCCTTACCTAAGAAGTAAGACGAAAATAGTATCACTTTAATCTTCCCTGATAACCAGATTTCCAGGATCCTTCAACTTTATTACGAATCAGCTTTATCGCCACGATGTTTGCACAAACATTACACGAATAATTTCACGGTTGCTTCCGACGAAACGATAAAATCGCGGCGACCCTTTCAGTGTCGGTAAGCAATTTCCACTGAAATAACCGGCCGCCGGCAAAATTTGAAAATTGCCGATCTTGATTGACGTACTATTCCCGTCAGTTATAAAACGCAATCTGCCAATCAGCTTCTCTCGCGTCCCTAATACGAGTTATCCACAAGTAATACTCAGACTACGTTGCATTTCCCGAATACCTTCGTGGCCTTTAAGCTTTATTTAGAAATTTTACTGCCGGTCTTCACGTTCACGAATTTCCAAACACTTCCCGTTCTTCGATAAACAACCAAATGTTCGCTAGTTCCGGACGATGCACGCACCGCGAAAATACTGATGATAGCACGATTATTTCGTTTTCGAATTTTCTGATTGTCGACGGTGGCGCCCTAATGAGTACTATTTGCCAAATTGTTAACCGGGTTGTCAAACTATGCAACAGGTTTTCGAACGCTGCGCAATAGGTTGTCGTTTCCCGCCAATTGTTTGTCGGAACCGTTGCTGGTAGTGTGCTCGTTCCTTTGGAGATTTTGAAGAACTTTATGGGTTTCGATTGTAAAGCTCGTAGGTATGCAGATATTACTTTGATAATGATACTTGAGGTATTATTTACGAATATTTTGCATTGTCTAAAGGTGCTCTCGACGAACCGCTTATCTTCGCCAAATATTAACAGAGTCAACAATGTTCATCGAGGGACGCCGTGTTTCGCCTTCGAGATATAACCGGCTTGGAGAAATGTAAGATAAGTGTTTTAAAAATAATTTATTCTTTTATTGAAAAAATTTATCGTTTTTATGACGATAAAGCGATATACTTGAAATCGTAATTAAATATATCAATTACATTGTTTGAATGTTTAAATAAATAGATATAGAGAATATTCGAGAATATTCGAGCATATTCGACATTTTGCATTCGTAAAAAAAAAATCAATAATACTTTACATTTTATATTAAGCATCATTTTGTAATGATTTAAAGGCTTTGTTTTGTCTTACATATAAAATTCTTTTAAATAGAAAACTAATTTTATTATCAACTTTTTTAAACATATATGTGCATTTTTTTGTGATGTATCAACGAATAAAAATGTTACATGGTATCATTTAATACACAAGGCACGTACATTACAAAGCTATCAATAAAGATATAGTCATGAATCTTATAAATATCCAATAACAAAATGTTAATACCACTACAAAATGTATTTGATAAATATTTATTTTATGTACTACCATAAGTACTATGAAAGAAACCTATTATAAAAATATAATATGAAAAGTGCCGTAATACTCACACCTATGAACTCTAGTTTTAATGTAGTTAAATAGATACATCACCAAGCTTAATACTTCTGTACATTATTAACAGAATACCTCGTTGAGGATGTTACTAATTAACAAAGTTTTTCTGAGTTTTTCCAGTATAAGAGGTTCTGCATACAGAACACTTGATTTCTTCATTGATATTATTAATATAATATTTACTTGTTCTGAACCGAATATATTCTTTTCTCGATCAGATAATATTTGTTGCCACAATAGCTGCACAACACTATTATACACACTTCGCTCATAATTAAACATTTCTAATATTCTCATTATGGTTTGTGCATGTCATCTTGTAATTCATTTTCAACTTCGTTGTTACATATGTACATTGAGTCTGAAATACTTCCACCTAAAACAGAACATGTTTACATTGAATTCATTTTCTAAAACAATCATAATATCAATTATTTTTTAATTTTGTTGATTCAATTGAATTAAAAAAATAATAGCGTTTATTTTTTCGGAAAAATGTTATCGCAAAAAAAATAAAGTCATGTTTTCTGTCATTTATTGCTATGATACACATAAAGAATAAATTTGAGTTAGTTGTATTGTACATTATTTTTAAATATTGCAGAATAGAATGTTAGAACACCAATAAGTTAGAAGTGTTAATATATATTATTATTATTATTAACAAATAATAGCTTCAGAACCTCACATGCAACCATTTGTCATGCAGAACTAACAAAACACACTGATTTTATGATGTGTAAAATCTTCTTAGTAGGCAAGCTTCATCATTTTCTTTTATATAAAGTATATAAACATATCAGAAAAATTATAATATTAGACTCACACATACTCCAACAACCAGAAATATACACATATTGCAATGCAAAATATTAATATCATCATTGAAACCTTTTGAGCACTATTGAGACCAAACAAAAAAGCCAATTCAAAATTAAGATGAAATTGGATAGGAAGGATAAAGGTTTTGCCCAAATAAAATAGAGCAAAATAAATGGAAAATGTAAAAGAATTATAATTTGTAGAAATTAATGTAAATGGAAAGAACAGGTATTCGATAATCAATTTAATTATATGATAGTTTTAAGTTTTATAAAAATTGAAAATATGAAACAATAGTCATTCTAAACATTCTAAAAATTCGTAATTTGAGATGAATTTTGAAGTATCTATAATGTACTTAATTAATAGAAAAGAAAATCAGCTAATATTAATTTCATTATATTTTTTCTCAACATATCTTTATGACATATCTTTATATTAAACTGATTATCGCGTCAAATGAAAAATATTAAATCATGAAAATAAATTATATACCGGGTTTACAGCATACTATCAGGGAAGGCCCAGTGATGCATTTTATAAATGCGTTGATTCAGCTTGCCCATTATTCTTAGAATCTAGATACTTTTCTGCAAGAAAGATGTTTGCATATTATACAAAATTAATTTTGTATACATTCCACATTAACCATGTAAAATGTTAACTTGGGTTAAAAAACTGTGAAGTCTAACTTTTTTAGTGCAGAGCTTACCATTTGTGTGTCTTATTTATATTTCATTTTTTAAACATTTTAAATTATTAATAGCAGGACAAAATGCGTTATCAGCAAAATTGAACAAATTTACGATAAATTCGTTTTCTGTTATTCAGATAAAATCCGAACTTTAATTTATAAACATTTTAAACTTTAATTTCTTTATGAATATTCTTTTAACCATTAACTTATTTAGATGATAATTTTGATTTGTCTATAACTGCATGAAAAATGGTTCATATTTACTAGAACTTTAAAATATTAAAAAAGTTTTTGCATATCATTTTCTTACTTTTGGCCTTCAAATCTGTCCATTTAACTTGATACTTGCGAATAATTGATGCACTGTATAGAAATAATTCCATTTTAATAAAATCGTCTGAATTATCAAATTTAGCAACAGCTTTTCATAACAATAAATTATAAATGAAACTTGGATCCTGAACAATATTACACTATTATCAGGAGTCAATTGTTTGTGCATCTGGCAAATGATGTGTATATAATAAAAGCATTAGTGCATTATTTTGACTTTTAAACTATCCACATTATCCTTGCAAATAGTGCTTTCAATACAAGACAATGACGAACTTGTACAAAAACGACGAAACGTGTTCCAATTTGTGTATAAATACTTGGGTATCAAACTCTAAGCTGTATTAGTAGCATTTTTCATACGACATGCAGATAAGATGCCAAGACAAGTTTTTATTTTCCCTTCAAATATTTTGCATACTCATTCACTTACCCGCGATTGTAAGATCTACTAGTGCTTTATCCTTCTGTATATACAATGCCGTGAGGAAGAAAAATAGACTTCCAATGACCTCTACGAACATAGTCAGAAACAATGCATATTGTAAACTTCGGAACTCGATAAGCTGATCATCGTGTGTCGTAGGTTTTATGTCCGTGTCTGGAAGAAGAACTGTTTTCAGTCCTTCTGACAACTGAAAACAATTGATCAAATTATCTTGAATTAATCACACAAAAGAACAAAATTGAAATGAAATGGATACTAATAATAAAATTATGCTGGTTCACATAAAAATATCAAACCATTGAAATTAAATAGTACATAATAGAAAGTATATAACTAAAATGTATACTTGACATATGTTTTAAGTATTAAGTATTCAAGATACTTACCAGACCAATAAGATAGGGGCTTCCTGCATCTCCTAAAGCATGGGCAATGAGTATCTGGAAAGCTTCTGCTGTAGATCTTCTTGTTGGAATCACTACATACTGTAACAGTCCAATATAACCAAATTTGGGAAGGTGTTTCCAACTTAGTTTATAATTAAGAAAAGAGTCATCTTTGAGTTACATACCAATAAGATGTCGGCGACAATAGACCAATTTAAATTTAATGATAATTGTCCAAAGAATACTAATGTATAACATATGACAGAATTTGTATTGGCAGTTAAAGTTGCAAAGAACAGTAATGGTACACTAATGAGAAGTCCAACAGCACATATTAAAGGATCAGCCTGTTGATAATTTACTCTTAGTTTTTGAGCTAGAAGTGAACCTAATGGTACTCCTATTAAACCAGCTGCCATTCCTATTAGTCCAAATTTGTATGCAACACTGAAATATTTGAAACAATGTTGAAGACCTTTTTGAGCACAATAGTTGTGTAGATAAGAATTTATCAACATACTCATCAGGATCAGCATCATGTGCATTAGGATGTAATGCAAATCCCAACTGTAAAAATGTTGGTGCCCACCAAGCTAGTGCTCCAGCAACAAAAGCTACACATGTAAATCCAGCAGTAGAGAACATAAAACTTGGGCTAGAAAGAACAGAAGTAATATCAATTACAAAATGCTATAATTATGTACACTCTGTACTTGTTTACTTTTTCAACTATTGATATTTACTTTCTTAATAATGCTTTGATGTCACTTGACCATGCGGTACTTGTCAAATGAACTCCACCTTCTCTTTCCCCCCTGATTGGATCTCTTACTATCACAAGGAGTAAAATAATTGCTATGATACCTAAAGCTGGTGTGATACGTAAACCCCATTGCCATGCACCGGTAGCTTTTGCTGTTTCACCACCTATTATATACCCTAATCCACTGAATATGAAATATGCATTTAATCATTGAAGTCAATTGTAATTCAAAAATTACATCAACAGAATTTCAGCCTACCTTCCAACAGGTATCGCAAAGTAAAACAATGCAAGCATTTTAGAGCGCAAATCTTTAACAAATAAGTCGCTTATTATTGTTGGAGCAATTGTGGAGTAACTGGCTTCACCTACTCCAACAAGAGCCCTGAAGAAGAGAAACCATCCAAATGACTGAAATAATTTTACCCAATATATTACAAAGAAGCTATGACAAAAATGTCGATCCTTGATCATAAACTAAAACAGACTTCCTATTTTGGTCTAGCATTACCTTCATATAAGAGCCAACAAATGTAGTTAAACACCACAAAAATACACCAGCGCTCATTATAACTTTCCTGTTGTAACGATCCCCTAAATACCCAAACATTGGTGCAAATATCATGTAACTTAAGATAAATGCAGTCTGTAAAAATCCAGACAAATCATTGCGAATACCAAAGTCATGCTTTATGTTTGTCAACACTCCTGCAAGAAGTTGCATACAAATTAGAGACGAACCAAGCAATGAACTTTATCCTATACAAAAAAAGAAGTTGGTACAGACCAGCGATCGTGAAACGATCCATATAATTGATGAGGTTGACAAAACACAAACACAATACTGTTATCCAGTCTTTTTTACTGACTGATCTAACGTCCGAAAACATTGTGTCTTGTATTCGTTTCTCTCTAGAGGTGTTCTGAGCATTCTCCGCATTCACTGCGTGATAATCGTACGGCGATGCGTTCGCAATGATATCTTCGTCGACCATGATCGTAAAAATTTGAGCTTGTGCCAATTGTCACTCGCATTGACACGAATTTCTTCTCTTAAAAATATTTTAACCTCTCAACAACTGTGGCATAACCTTAAAAGGACACTTTGCCTACACAGTGAATCGTATGTTTGCGCAGTCTACTGATATCACTAATACGTTCTGTTGCATATTCATGAGTTTACTATGAAACTACACCATTGCAATTGCACAGATTGCAAGAAATTTTTATTATGTTATTTATATCGAATGATATCATTTGCGTGACAACGTCACAGAATCACGCGTTTTCGGGTGACGACACGTAAGCGGCAAGTTTGACAACCGTTGAAATACTAACACTTTCGCGTTTATTACTTGGAAACGTTACTGCATTTTATCAAATACAGAAATGCAAATGCAGCTGTTTTTCATTTCTCATATCTTCGTATAATAATCGAACCGTAGCTTATTTTGTGATAAGAAAATGCGTATATAGGAACATTTTGCAACGTTTGGGACGTTCGTCGGTTGGGTGCAGGATTCCCCTAGTTAAAGGAAAGTGCAAGGGGAATGACCTTTTATTTACTTTCTACAGGGAGATCCCTCTTATGAATTATTCAAAATAATTATTCGTATGGTAATTTTTGCCTGAATTCGCAATAATCCATTCTTTGTTAATTTTATTAAAAATAATGTAAATATGCAGAAGGGTGATAATAGTAGAATCGATTAAAATTTTTTTTAAATACTTACCTGGAAGAAGTATTTGAGTAATATTATAGTTTCGGATAAATAATAATAAAAAATGTGTTTATTCGCAAGAATGTAGCCTTTATTTTTTAAAAGATACTTTTCTAACTCTTTTTTTAATTTTAAAATACAATTATCATATACAAGTATACAATGCTGTAATAATCATGAAACACATTTAATTGTGCACTTGTTTTGTTTCGAATGTACTTACTCTGAAGGAACATGTTTCTTTAAATGTGATCCATTGATTACACTGGTTTAATTATGTACGTAAAACGAGTTATTTTAATCCTTCTCATTAATTATCGTTTCAATAACATTCAGATAACTTACTGATCATTAATTATTAAGAACGATTTAAGTAACGTTATTCCAGCGATTGAAAGGTGTAAATGGTGGAAAACAATAATGCAGAAGAATTCATAATAACATATATTCTATGTAACACAATACTTACATAGGTATGATCTATGTATATATTTTTTTTGTTTCGAATGTCCATATATGTATATATATAATAATAATTCGGATATTATTATATATATAATATATTGCATATAATAATTAATAAAATATAATGTTTAATAATGTTAATCGTGTATGACTACAATATATTATTATCTCATTTTTCTCATCATCGTCATCGTCGTCGTCGTCGACCGTTAACTACTTTCTACCATTTATTATTATATTGATTTTTATATGTAATAACAATGATCTCAAAAGGCTTATACAATATTCAGCTAGCGTATGGATAGCTTGAGATTTCTTATTTGTCGTTAAATAATTATCTCTCTCTCTTTATAATACAATAGATTCATCTTTTCAACTTCAATAACTTATTTCTTTCCTTCCTTTATCTTTTTTTTTTTATTATTTATCTGTATGTGCTTATGTTGCAAATATATGTTCATTGTTGCTTCGTATCATAGATGCAGTTCAAATACAATTCTTATTAAACGCAATATTTACTGCGATTATGCTGCTTATTATGATCGTATCACATGCGGGGAAAATCTGTATCGATATTTCCGGTTGTTACAACTTTCATTTGAACGTTAAAGTCCACAGAATCGGTTGGTCTGTCAATCGAAACCTCTTCCGGTGTTCGGCTAGATAACTAAACGATTTCTAGCGATACCTAAAAAAAGAATCAAATACTGCGTTTCATCGCGATGAAAATCGAAAAAATCGAACTTCACGGTAGCGCGTATTTACCAGTAATTATACGTACGTATAGTACATTTCATTATACCCTGTCACATAATTGTGTGCTTGGAATATCGCTGGAAACGAAGGTAGCGAGTGGATAGATAAGCAGGGTCGGATCACGAGATTTTGGGACTTTGGGTACTTGAAAAGTTGGGAGTTGAAAAAGTTAGAAATGTGGAAATTTGGGAAGGTTGGAGGATTTGGGGAGTTGGAAATTTGGGAAGGTGGATGTTTGAGGATTTGAGGAATTTGGGGATTTGGGAGATTCGGGATTTGGGAGATTTGGGATTTGGGAGATTTGGGATTTGGGAGATTTGGGATTTGGGAGATTTGGGATTTGGGAGATTTGGGATTTGGGAGATTTGGGATTTGGGAGATTTGGGATTTGGGAGATTTGGGATTTGGGAGATTTGGGATTTGGGAGATTTGGGATTTGGGAGATTTGGGATTTGGGAGATTTGGGATTTGGGAGATTTGGGATTTGGGAGATTTGGGATTTGGGAGATTTGGGATTTGGGAGATTTGGGATTTGGGAGATTTGGGATTTGGGAGATTTGGGATTTGGGAGATTTGGGATTTGGGAGATTTGGGATTTGGGAGATTTGGGATTTGGGAGATTTGGGATTTGGGAGATTTGGGATTTGGGAGATTTGGGATTTGGGAGATTTGGGATTTGGGAGATTTGGGATTTGGGAGATTTGGGATTTGGGAGATTTGGGATTTGGGAGATTTGGGATTTGGGAGATTTGGGATTTGGGAGATTTGGGATTTGGGAGATTTGGGATTTGGGAGATTTGGGATTTGGGAGATTTGGGATTTGGGAGATTTGGGATTTGGGAGATTTGGGATTTGGGAGATTTGGGATTTGGGAGATTTGGGATTTGGGAGATTTGGGATTTGGGAGATTTGGGATTTGGGAGATTTGGGATTTGGGAGATTTGGGATTTGGGAGATTTGGGATTTGGGAGATTTGGGATTTGGGAGATTTGGGATTTGGGAGATTTGGGATTTGGGAGATTTGGGATTTGGGAGATTTGGGATTTGGGAGATTTGGGATTTGGGAGATTTGGGATTTGGGAGATTTGGGATTTGGGAGATTTGGGATTTGGGAGATTTGGGATTTGGGAGATTTGGGATTTGGGAGATTTGGGATTTGGGAGATTTGGGATTTGGGAGATTTGGGATTTGGGAGATTTGGGATTTGGGAGATTTGGGATTTGGGAGATTTGGGATTTGGGAGATTTGGGATTTGGGAGATTTGGGATTTGGGAGATTTGGGATTTGGGAGATTTGGGATTTGGGAGATTTGGGATTTGGGAGATTTGGGATTTGGGAGATTTGGGATTTGGGAGATTTGGGATTTGGGAGATTTGGGATTTGGGAGATTTGGGATTTGGGAGATTTGGGATTTGGGAGATTTGGGATTTGGGAGATTTGGGATTTGGGAGATTTGGGATTTGGGAGATTTGGGATTTGGGAGATTTGGGATTTGGGAGATTTGGGATTTGGGAGATTTGGGATTTGGGAGATTTGGGATTTGGGAGATTTGGGATTTGGGAGATTTGGGATTTGGGAGATTTGGGATTTGGGAGATTTGGGATTTGGGAGATTTGGGATTTGGGAGATTTGGGATTTGGGAGATTTGGGATTTGGGAGATTTGGGATTTGGGAGATTTGGGATTTGGGGGATTTGGGGATTTGGGAGATTTAGGATTTGGGGAGTTGGATGTTTGAGGATTTGGGGAATTTCGGGATATGGGAGATTTGGGTGATTTGGGGATTTGAGGAGTTGGAGATTTGGGAAGGTGGATGTTTGAGGATTTGTGGATTTTAGGGATGTGGGCGATTTGGGTGATTTGGAAATGTGGAGAGCTGGAGATTTGGATGTTTGAGGTTTTGAGAATTTAGGAATTTGAGGATTTGAGGAATTGAAGATTTGATTGTTTAGAGTTTGGAAGGTGTGGGAATTTAAAGATTTGTGGAGTCGAAGATTTGGATCTCTGAGATCTGTGGGACTTGTGGATTTGCAGATTTGGAAATTTAGAATTAGTAGATATTGAGAAATTACTGGAAAAAGGACTTGGATATAGGAGATGTAAATTTGAGGAAGTTTTCAAAGATTTGAGGATCTGCAAATTTGGGGATTTTTTAGTATAGGTATTTGAAAGTTCAGAGACATTAAGACTCAAGGCTCAGTGAATCTGATAACCCGTCAGATAATTTGTATACTCAAAAATGTTGCAATTTTGAAATTGTCAAGTTTATTACATCCCTAAAGAGACTTCAGTTCTTGTTCGAAAGAATTTACAATACCGAAGCTTGTTCAGTCAAATAAATCCCGAGTCCACAAGAGTCCAAACAATCCTCGGATGCTCCCCGAACAAAATAACATGAACAACAAAATCTTCGAACGCATGAAACTTCGTTTTCTATGCCCGTGATTGCCTCGCTACCCGAACGTTCCACGGTAATTGCAAAAGTAATTGGAAAAAAACCTCTTCCGCCTTCACCCGGGTTGATTGTTCCATAATTTAGGGTTAGGCCCGTTAGGTTGCAAAAAAGGCTTCTTGCATCATCGAAACGGACTGTATTATTACGAGTCGGTATAATACTCGCGTGTTTTACGAATCCGTCGACGGAACGAGCGTATTATCGACAGGGACACGATGCAATCTTCTTGTGCCGTAATACAAATGACAAAAAAGTTCGTCGAACAATAATGTAGGTGTGTTCCAGCGTGCATGAAAGGCCGTTTCATGAAATACGATTCAGCGACACCTATGCTCCGCCACCCCCTCTGGTTCTTTGTGCTGGATTTCGTTTGCGCACGAATCAAGAGGGATCGTATAAAAACGCACAGGGCACCTATTGCTATTAGCGTATTGCGTGTATGGTTTTTCGATCCACTCGATTCATGATCGCCAGCTATGAATTGCTATACAACTTGGACGAGAGAGTTTCTTAAAAATGACTTTGCGTGTATTTATACAGGGTGTATATAACTCTACAGGGTGTCTCATAACTGGGTCTTTGAAATGGGGGATGGCTTGGTTCTGAGTGGGATTTTAGTTTGCAAGGATGGGGTTTGGAGCGTCGTTTTTGAATTATTAAGAAAAAGGGCGGTCGCTCTGATTGCTACAAGTCAGATTACCACGCGCTGGATTATTACACGTTGGACTACTACGCGTTAGATTACCACGCGTGAGTACCACGTGTTAGGTTACTACTCATTAGATTACCACACGTTAGATTACCACGCGATAGATTACCACACGTTAGATTACTACGCGTTGGACTACTACGCGTTGGACTACCACGCGTTGGATTACCACGCGTTAGATTACCACGCGTTAGATTACCACGCGTTGGAATACTACGCGTTGGATTACCACGCGTT